GAGAGAGAGAGAGAGAGAGAGAGAGAGAGAGAGAGAGAGAGAGGAAGGGAGAATAGGGCCGTGGAGAAAGGCCAGAGTCTCAGACCGAGAGAAAGAGATGCAGATAAAGCTCAGAAAGAGGCTGTCAGAGAAAGGTTTAGAGGGCCGAGATCCATAGATAGACAGTAAACCGTAAAGAACACAGATAATTAACAAGCTGCGTTTTCTCCTTGTGCTCTGGCCATTTTTTTTGGCATTTAGCTTAAATATCATGACATTTTCAACAAAACTCAACAAAGAGCGGCTCGGGACATTTGATCCTGTCTATTGAGGGGAGTGCACGGTTGTGTGTTTGTGAGGGAGGCCAGAGCTTGGCCAGCCTTTCATTAAGTGTACGCTCTCCATCCCCAGCAACAAGTTGTAAGGCACACCATGCAATTCACAGTCAGTGTGTTGTTCTCTCTCTCTCTCTCTCTGTCTGTGTGTGTGTGTGTGTGTGTGTGTGTGTGTGTGTGTGTGTGTGTGTAGCCCATCTCCAGAGGCACCTCTTCAAATGTTTCAGGGAACCTTTCAGATATTTGATATTTCTCTCCTAAAAACATGCAATGCGATGCTTGGACCAGCTGCTACCTTTGCTTGGGGACACATGGAGTCTTTGTTTGTGTGTTTCTGTGTGTGTTTGTGTGCGTGTGTGTGTGTGTGTACATGTGTGCCCATGTGTGAAAGTGATTGAGGTGTGAGTCACTTTGAGTCATAGCTGCTCTATTTAGCTCACTCGTTGACAGAGAAGAAAAGACATAAAAAGACACAAGCAGAGAAGAGGTGATAATAATCGCATAGACAGGACATATAGCAGAAGACTAGAAGTAGTTACAATGAAGTCGCGAGCCAAAGAAAAGGAAAAAACAGACAAATAGCAGTCGTGCTATAGCTAAGTATCTTTAGCAAACAGGTCTCCAACAGACCAACTCCCCATCCTCTCCTACCTATTGATTCACTTTTGTTTTGGATCTCATCTGGTCTGGGTATATGGTTGGCCGTGTAGTGGGTTAGCATTCTAATATTTGGTAATTAAACACAAACAGCTGAGGCTGACGGGAATGTCATTAGTTCTGGAAGTTTTGATCATAAACTTGTTTTTACCTGATGATGATGTGAGATAAAGAAAAAGTTGAGGGATCACCACTTTTATTGCAGATCCTCCTGAGGGGGACCAATAGGCCGACCTTGCAACCGTCGTCTTATAATCACTTTCGCTTCCCTCTCAGCCTTACCGACCTATAAAACACAGATTGTTCTGTGAAAACATAGACGGGCCACATCTGCGAGATCAGCACTCCCAGTGATGAGTGACGGGAAGGGAAAGTGCAGAGGAGGAAGGATGGGAAGGGATGAGAGGAAATGACATGCAGTTGTCTCACAATGTTATAGTTGTTTTTTTCCAAAATGGAAAAAAAAAAAAGAATTCAAGAAATGGAAGAAGCCTGATTTCTTTTTGCAATGTTAAGCTGGATACAAACACACGTAAGAGTTGTGATTGTTTTACAAAACCTTATACAAGTGTACAAGGAAATCCCATCTTGGTCTTTGTCAGAAATAAGTACTTTAAACTTTGAATCCACACACTTTAACAAGCTTACAAGCGTACAGGCACACTTTCAAATACAAATACGTGCAGGTATTCACACGAATCCCACAAGTTGCACGTACCATTTTGCTCTCTCTTACACACACACACACACACACACTCACACACTGCTCCCCTGACACAATATCACGCCTTCGGCCAAGGATTGTTTTTGCTCTCATTTCAAATCTTCCTCTCCATCACTGTGACGAAGGTCAGTCCCCCAAAACACAATGGCCGCCAGCAGCTGGCCTGACTCACTGCCAACCCATTTGACTCTGAATCTTATCAGACATTGACCATCATTAAAGACTTCTCAGCATAACCGTATTCTGAGTCACTGCTTCTGTGTAAGTCATAACAACAAGTGCTGGAACTATGAAAATCAAAATGCTTGTTGCACGCATTTACAGTCGAACACGGCATTCATACATGCGATCAATGGCGCGCACAGGACACGGTAGTTTAACTGTGCAAAGTGCTGCCACAACTTTGCGGGGTCGGTTGCTTTTCAAACATCTCAAACCTTCCCTGTGTTCTCGCAACAAAAACAGGCTTGTTTGTGAGTTCAAAAACAGGAAGAGCGTTTCGCATCATGTGCTCTACCCGAAGCTAATATCTGGTCTCTCCCTGTGATCCTTTTCCAGGCAAAATCTAACTCGATTATCTACGGTGATACAATTTCTTACCGTACAATAAAGGATTTCTGTTGGACAGTATTTCCAACAATAAGCAAAGAAAAGACAGCATGCTGCTGAAAACATGATCATGATCATGGACAGAATTCTAAAGGACAGAAAAGCATACAACAAACGTATTAATTTGATGAACAAATTTTCGACAGCTAAATGAAAATCAGTGCTGCACTTTCTGTTGCATAAAAACGTTTTAACACTTCTTTCTATATACTGATAAGTTATTATTTATGTCTTCTTACATCTATAACTAGAGGGACAAAGTGCTTGTCTGCGCATTAAGACAAGCTCCACCCCCAATATAGTTTTCAAACCGGAATTTCAGAGATTCCTTCGTCCCCAGTTAAACTAGCACAACCAGTCTAAAAAACCCAGACTGTCTTGTCTTTTAAAAGACAACAGTGAGCCTGGGAAGACAGGCTGCTTGAGGAATACATGAAAGAGCCAATTGTAAAGTTGAACTAATTAGGGGGCAACGAATGAGACTCATGGACAAAAAACTGGGGTCATGCGGTCAAACTGCAACCTGCTCATTAAGTGAGTTAGATATGAATCAACTATTGTTGTCTCCCAAACTGTCTCATTTGTTTTGGGGGGGGGGCGACTTATAATTGAGTTTTACTCTAATACAGAGCTCATTCACTACTTGATTATTATTCACAGGAAGCACTTCTTGTCATTTTCATGCACAGAGTTTTCATTTACAACAAGTCATCCAAATTAAGCCACAAAATACCACAAAATACAAGTGTTTTCTGATCTGACAGCCCTATTGGCAGGATGATATTATTTGTTTATTGTATTTTAAACGCTGCTGCAATCAATATATCCCCAGTGCTCAATCGGTTTGCCCGGTAAGTAATGCTCCTCATGAACCAAGTGTGTGGTGTAATATTTGATGAAACGCCAGCGGGGTCTGTGGTCACGGTTTGACCTTGCTTATACCATCTTAGTGTGCAATTTTGATTCGTTGAGCCTTCAGGTAGTGTGTGACACACGTGCTAGCGGCTTGGGAGGACAGTTTCCTCATTTCTTGCATTTTAAAACATCTTATCTGCAAAATGATAAGATAAAGAATCCCTAATTATTCTTGGTGCATTAACTATCATGGACTACTGTAGCCAGTAATAATAACTGTTCTTTTGTAGTATAATTTTGCTTCACTTTAATTTAAAACACCTTGTGGGAACCACAGCATATTGAGTTATTTCCCCTTTTCACTGCTCTCTCTCTGTCTCTCTCTCTCTCTGAATCACTCCCACGAGAGGAGCTGGAGTGGCACTTCACTCTGAAAACAAACAAACTCTTCCCTCCCTTTTGGCACCGAAGAACCGTTTGTGGCCCAGATTCAGGTCACAAATAGTTGATATATGAAAATATGGC